AGGAGATTGTTTGTTGGCATGATAAATCACTAAGATGACTGCCCAAATTGTGGCTGTCGTAAACAAAATGTTGGATAAAAAAAAACACTCAATAATGACACAACATAGATCAGCTATTAAACTATGTTGATCAACCAGTAGCCGAACATTTCAATTCTGTAAGCAATGCAGATAAAGTTGCTCAAGAACAGAAGCGAAATGCACAGCGAGATTGAAACCTCGAGGATGGGAAACCAAACCGTTCCCGCTGCTCCAAACCGCTTCCACAAAGGTACTTGAATTAGAAATATGAATTTCATCCATCTAATACAGGTAGATCTTGATTTGTTCTTTCGTGTTTATCACACCACTCATTACTATAATTAAGTTAATTTATATTCAACTTCATTACCAGTATTTAATCCAGTTACGATCTATACAGTAGTTCTATTGATAACAACATCAACAACAACTCCACCTGTACCTGGAATTCCAGAGCTGGACCCTACGAGTTATTGTCCCCAATCCTGGCCAAAAAAATATTCTTCACTTCAAATTTCTTTGTACAGTACTACTAGTAGTTTCTTTTTCGCTTGTTTTGTCTCTGTTGCCATTTTTTAAAATTCAGATTTATAACTGCAATAAACTGCTTTATATACATATAAATGTTTTTTGATATAATGAAGATACCCAGTATAATTATTATGATAATAATGTTAAGATGATGGGTGCACAATGAATAAATGATGATAATAATAATAAGCAGTATTCCCCACTATGCGTGTAATTTCGTATCTACCAATTTCATTCCGAATCTTGGTAAGAGTGGCAAATGAAGGCTAGATAAAGTGTATTATGGACACAATCAGTGTGTCGTACGGCGGCCTTCAACTTATTGATTAAATGTCTAAACCCTTACTACTGCGAAAGAGGGTGACGAAATAGGGACTTGTTCCCCACCCCAACTCCACGCCACCAACCAAGATTGAACTCATTTAGATAACAGATTCAAATGTCTATAACACCAAAGTTTACAGAGATGTAGCCCATTGACCAGCGCAATAAGAAATGAAACATCCAAAAGCATTCTTCCGACCATAGGTTCCGCCTCATTCGGACTACAGTCTCACTTGCCACTCACGTCACCACTACAAAAATAGTTCTGGATCTGCAACTTGAGAAGTATTTCACAATATTGCTATCAACGCATTATTCTAACCTTCAGTGGTCGCTCCAGAAACTTGCTGATAAGAGGTCCGACAAGGGCCAAACCGAGGGCCACCTAGACAATCGGTGATGCTATAATAATATTTCTGCCCTATTGGGGTTAATGGGAGAGATTTTATTGTCTAGGATAACCCAGAAGGGCAATTAGAATAACTTTATTAGGATCGCCAGTTAATGATTTATCCGACGATCTTCTTCTTTCTAATGTTGGACGACTAGGGTTCATGCTTATCCGACGTCGGGACAATAACGGCACATCTCCCTTCCATACGCCACTGGTGCCGCCACTAACAACCTTATCTACCTGGAAGGCATCCGCTAATATATACTCCTTAGTAGAGACACAATGTGGATAAAGTCCCTTGAGTTGCACACAACGTAAAATCACTACCTAAGTTTGGGAACCTGAATTGCAACCTTCGTGCCAACCCCTCCTAATTTATAAGTTAATGAATAAATATGCAAAAAATACATGACATCTTTGATGACCTAAATACAGATATGTGTGTGTATATTTTGTAAATATTAAAAGAAAAATAAAACATTATTATTTACCAGAGTATATGTACATTACTTGCACTGCATTGTCATACATTTCAAACTTGTCGCCAGTCTCGATATTAGCGCGGCCGATGCCATCATTATAAGCAGTATTATAATACACGTAATTTCGGTAAACCTGTGTACTTAGAACGTTGTAAAGGTCATTGGCAACCTGTCTTGAATTCGTTCCATCTAGATCACATTCCCAAATAACGCTGTCGCCTCCATCATACCAGTACAATTTTCCTATAACAGAATAAAATATATTAGCAAACACTATTGTTCACAGTCCTTAATTTGTTCTAAAACAAAGTTGGGCAAAGTCGAGCCATATGCTGCCCGACAGCAATATTTTTGCGGCCAGCGAAAATATATGATAAAAAAAACTATGTGTGTGACAGCCTACTATCTTTGTCTAAAAAAACCGGCGGTAGTTGTTTACGCCCCGACGCCGAACATCTGTAAAGGCCAACAACTCAGACAGCGTCGTACGACGCAGCCCGACGCGATTTGTTGTTGCGTCGGGTCTGTGTGAGTCGGGGGCAGTCGCGTCGTAGAATATTAAACATGTTTAATATTTCTCACGACGGCTTAAGACTGTCCCCGACGATAAATCGGGTCGGGCTGCGTCGGCCAACGCTGTCTGAGTTGGCCCTAAGTCACAATAAAAATGAGCATGGAGCATTGGAGATGATAGCTGCTAGGAAGCAGGTACATGTTTATCCGTGGGTTTACGGAAAAGATATGTTTTAATTGCACCATATTCCATTCCACTCTGGTGTTCAAAAAGTCTACACTACTCGTGGATTTGGTAGCAGTGAATTTGATTATAGGATGAGCCGAATTAATGTTCAATAGGAACGGTGTCAAAACTATCTTCACTGAGTCAGATCATGTAAAGAACCATGAGGTTTCCTGGGCTGAAGGGACAGGAGGTTGGCCTCAAATTGTCCCATAAATAAATTTGCAAAATGTGTTTTTGCCATCACTGTGCAATGGATTTCGAGGTAGTGACCACCTCCGAAATCAAAACTGATATTGGTCAGAATTAGCAAAAATAGTTTATGATGATATTTAGATGGGGGTTTGCACCACATGTGTTTGTAATTTGAGATACACTCATTAACACCTGCTTCATGAGGAATATTAGTATACTAATGACGAAGCATCAAGTGTAGCCAGAACAGTTAGAATCATACGAGGGTGAGCGGAACAACATATTGTCTTAATAAATCATCCACATATCATAAACTTTTTCTGTAGCAGTACTACCATTGCCCGAAATGATGGGTTTGTCGGGATGGGCTTTTTGTGGATTTTGGCCCACCATGGTGAGGCTGAGGTAGGTATGAACTACATCTCAACTAACTTTAAGTTTTGTCTGCCCGGGATGGTAGATGATAGCATTTCTTCTACTATTTCTTCTGCCTATATTACGCAGTAAATACAAAAAGGGTACGGAATTGCGACCTGAATTACCTTAGATACTGGACGAAAATGTAACTACTAGTATTTATTTGCTTTTTAAGTAATTAAAAAATTCAAAATAACACTTATGTCATAGATGGGCTACACTTACCATTTTCTGATATTGACATTCCGGAGACTTGTGAGTAGCGAGGTTCAATAATGTTTTGTCGAAAACTGTGATCGTCTAAGCTAATGCGTTCGATTTTGACACGATAATCCATATTAACAACAATCCCGTATAAATACCTTTAAGGAAACAGATTATATAATGTCAATTGATAGCAAAAGTCGATATTGATATGTGTTGACAATTTAATTTAATTTAATTTATTTTCTCTCATAAAACAAGCTTAAAAACAAAAAAAATACAAATGCGATTGTCAATTAAGGTTCAACTTAATTGACAAATCACAACTTAAATATCTATAATAATTTCATGTTGACGATAATGTTAATAATGATGGTGATATCTAGGTTGACTATGAATGATGAGTACCATAATAATAAGTTATACTTATATAGCGCGACAATGGGAAGCGCTTTACAACACACACACACACACACACACTCTCACACAAACACTAAAAGAGCGAAGGAGTGGGAAAAGAAGAGGACAATATGTATTATTCTGCCCTTGTTAGGGACTGCTCTGGTGATCAGAAAAAGCTCTTTAACATAGTTAACAACCTCCTTCACCGCTCAAAGTCTACGGTTCTTCCTTCTTCTGTATCAAATCAAGCTCTGGCACATAAGTTCTCTGTGTTTTTCGAGAACAAAATCCAAAATATTCGTAGTTCGTTTGCTCAAAATCATTTAAGTGATTCTACTGGTGATTCTAATGTGATTGGTGCAGAGGAAATAGCTAGGTCTATATTGCTTTCGGAGTTTGATCCTGCAAGTGAGGTGGAAATAAGTGACATTGTTAGAAGTTCGCCTTTGAAATCTTGTCGACTTGACCCGATACCTACTTCTTTGAAAGTCTTGTCATGATGCCTTTGTTCCTATCATAACAAATATAGTAAATAAATCTCTTGAGAATGGGTCTTTTCCTGATGTGTTGAAAGTTGCGCATGTTTTTCCTACTTTGATAAAACCCAGCCTAGATCCTGAGGTTCTCAAAAATTACAGATCTGTTTCTAATTTAAGCTTTCTTGGTAAGATAATTGAAAAGGTTGTGTCTAAACGATTATTGGTCCATGTTAAAGAACATACTTTACTTGATTCGTTCCAATCTGCTTACAAAGCACATCATAGCACTGAAACAGCCTTACATAGAGTTAGCAACGACATCCTACGTGCAATGGACGATGGCAAACTTACTGCTTTAGTTCTATTAGATTTAAATGCAGCTTTCGACACTGTTGACCATAATGTTTTGCTCCGTAGATTAAGTAAGCACATTGGAGTCGAAGGTTGTGCATTGGAATGGTATCGATCTTATCTGACCAACAGACGTCAACATGTATGTATTGGGGACGCTTTCTCCCAGGAAAGTTCCTTCAATTTTTCTGTTTCTCAAGGATCTGTTCTTGGGCCACAATGGTTCACAATTTATATCCTACCTATTCGGGATATAATTTGCAAATATAACTGTCCTACCATGTTTATGCTGATGATACTCAGATTTACCTCTCGTTTAAGCCGTCCATGACGCAACTTAACCTCTCTCTATGAATCACTCGAAAATTGCATTTCAAAGTTACATCTTTGGATGAAGCAAAATTTTCTAAAATTGAACGACGACAAAACTGAATACATACTTATTGGGTCTGGCCAACAGTTCGAAAAACTTCCACTGAGTAATTTAGTTATTGGGGAAACCCTAATAGGCTCTGCTGCGCTGGTCAGAAATCTTGGTGTTACTCTGGATGCTAATATGACAATGAGTAGACATATTTCAAATATCATTTCAACATCTTCATTTTATTTACGTAACATTAGAAGCATTAGGAAATACATTGACAATGCAGCTGCTGAGCAACTTGTTCACTCGTTTGTTACTTCACGCCTTGACATGGGCAACTCGTTCTTGTATGGACTTCCTCAAAAACAAATCCAACGGCTTCAACTCATTCAAAATGTTGCTGCACGTGTAGTTACCAAGTCACCTAAGTACTCACACATAACAAATACTTTTAAATAATTACATTGGCTCCCGGTACAACACCGCATTGTTTTTAAGATATTATTAATAGTTTTTAAATGTTTAAATGGTTTGGCTCCTGACTATGTTGCCGACATGATTCGGCCTTATATTCCTGGCGTAACTTGCGCTCTTGTGACAAACTATTTTTACACCAGCCTAAGTCATATCACTCTTACGGGGATCGAGCTTTTAGTATTGCTGCTCCACGTCTTTGGAACGCTTTTTGCTCGGGCAAACACATTAGATCTTTAAACTTGTTTAAAAAAACGTTAAAATTGTATCTCTTCACCGAGGTGTATACAGAACATTGATGTTTCTCTGTTGAATTTATATCATTAAAAAAAATAATTAAAAAAATGATACCACTTTTCCTCTGTCGACGCAATGTTGCTCCTTTTGCAGTTCAAAGTAGTGGAGCCCTGGGCTTATCCCGGGGTGGAAGGTGCTGATGCTCAACATACTGCCTTTAAGTATCTGCGCATACTTATATGGGGAGCAACACTGCCTCGATGGGATAATTTGGTATGCGGATTCTGCTTGAAATTTTTCTGGAATTATTTTGGATTTTCACCGAGGCGTATAGACTACCTTGATGTTTCTCTGTTGAATTTATATTACTCACAAAAAAAATATTTAAAAAATTAAAAAAAAAATAAATACATGATACCACTTTTCTCTGTCGACGCAATGCAGCTCCTGTTGCAGTGCACGGTAGTGGAGCCCCGGGCTTATCCTGGGGTGGAAGGTGCTGATGCTCAACATACTGCCTTTGGGTATCTGCGTATACTTATATGGGGACCAACATTGCCTCGATGGGATAATTGGTATTTGGATTTTGCTGAAAATTCTTCTGGGAATTATTTGGATCTTGTTGGTTTATTTGTATATGCGCCTTGAGCACCTTTGGTGGAGATGTGCGCTTTATAAATCTTTATTATTATTATTATTATTATTATTATTATTATTATTATTATTATTATTAAAAGAAAAAGATGAGTTCTGAGTAAAGCCTTAAGCTCTCTAGTGTGGAAGCCTGCTTGATGTGCTCACGCAGTTCATTCCACAGAGTGGAAGATCTGTTGTCCAAACTAGATGTTACAAAGGCATGTACCAGTCTTTCAATCAACTTTTTGTCTAAGTACTACCTGATGATTCCAATTTTACGGATGCCAATATGTACTACACGGCAAATTTTACTGACATGTAGCTTTAAATTGATTGTTGTCAAGAATAACTCCAAGGTGTTTCTGACTTGACTTTAAAAAGTAGATTACACTTACCGATCTCGATATATAAGTATTTGGGATGGAATTTAAATGGCGAGAAACAAAGTGAATGACCTAAGAATAGATGAGTTAAAAAAAAACACATGGTTCGATCGACAGAACCCATGACTAGACCTATCATCTAGAACACAAGCTGAAATTCTAGACATAGCTGTCTGTGTAATCAAAGGGGAGATATATTTGTATTTCATCCGCATAGAAAATTACTCGACAACCATGGGCCTTAATGATGACTCCTAGTGAAGTTTTTACATTACAAATAGGATTGGTCCTAAGACTGAACCCTGTGGTATGCCGCAGGTCTGCAACATTCCTGTGAAAAAGTGCCTTGTAGTGCAACAGACCGTCAACGTTCACTAAGATAGTGTTAGTTCTTAAGGTTCCCCCTATACCGAAACAAGAGGACAAACAATGTACAAATGTAGCATGCTGTATCAAAGGCAGCAGTGAAATTAAGGAGGGCTAGTAGCACCGTCTTACGCAGGGGCGGATCCAGAGATATCCAAAGGTGACAGGTATGAAAGTTTGGCCGATCGAGACAATACTATCCTAGGGGGTCGGGGGGCATGCCTCGGCAAAATTTTTGTGTTCTAGATGCCCGAAAATAACATTTGAGTGATCTGGCTATCCTTTTTTTGTTTTTCTTTATTTTTTTACCTCCCGAAGCTCCCCACCCCCTAAATCCGCCTCTGAATATGGGTCTCCAAAAACCCAAGTATCATCCTCAGGAATGATGATACATAGGCCTAATTAATGTCGAGATATTGAACCCCTTTCACGATGGCGTGCATTTCGATACTTGGAGTATGTATTATACTAGAAATTTTGAATCCTGACACGATGGCGTGCGTTTCGATACTTGGAGTATGTATTATACTATCTTAATATAGTCTCCTGATCGAAGACTTACAAAAAAAAAACAAAAAAAACCCACAAATGCTGTTAAAACTATCGACAATACAGTGCAAGACGTTTACCATTGTGTGAGTAGAGCCAGTTATAACGTGCGTGTTAGTGATAGCAGTAATGGCGGAATGCTTTTAGCGAAAGCCCGATTACGTTAAGCCGTGCACTCACTGCGTCGTACGACGGTCGTACGACCGTCGCACGACGAATCCAACTCCACTTCCTGTGTGCGCTAGACCACGCGACGCTTGAACGGGTCGTCATTAAATCGACCAGTTGTGCGCGCGTCGTCGCGTTGCGTTCTACATAGAATCGCGTCGGCAGTGAATGCCCGGCTTTAGAAATAATTTTACCAAAGAAATAGCAGAAGAATGAGCTCCTCCGCGTATTTGTATTAAAATTGATGAAACATCCGCCCTCCCGCGAATGGGGTAAAATTTGAACGTTTTACTAAGTAGAAAAACTACAGGAAACAAACGAACCGGAGCGGTGCCTATATTATTGCTATAATACCCACAGTGCCTTTCGAACAGATGTTCCACTATACAGTATTGAGAAGCTGCTCTGTCTGCTTTTTATTATCTTTGATTTTACCAACCAATTTACCACGATTACGAACACTGATCTATTATAGTACAGACCAGTGATTACGACACGACAACAACACGATACAGATGCGCGCAGTGTTGCAGAATACAAACTACGCGATGATATGTCGTGTCTAGTATAAATCTAGCTTAAGGAATAACGTTTGTTGTAAATACATAAACGAAAATCAACAGCAAGATAGAGTCAGAACGTTGTGCTTTTTTAAGCAATTCTTCTTGTATGTAGCAATAACGTTGTTATAGGCCACTAGAAAAGATGGTGGGGACTGAAATGTGAATCAGTCGTTTATAGATTTAAACATAAGGATGGAAACGATAATTTTTTTTCATATGACCGTTTTACTGGAGGACAACGAGAGTTTAGAAAAATTAACACTGGAGATTGAAAAGATTACAGAATGTCAAGGTGAAATAACAGAGCATGTCCCCGAATCAATTCATTATTGAACAATGCCATGGTTTTGGCAAGGCCAAAATGCCCGAAGAGTTCACTTGAAGCAAAATATCTCAGTGGGTTCAATTTGAAATCAAATAAAAAACAAAACAAAAGCTAAAGAAAATCTGAAACATCAATACCATTAGAATAGTATCTATTATTTTGTAACATGCAATTTAAAAATCATTAATAATGTCTTTACTATTACGTATTAGAAATTTTGAATCTTTTATGTGATGGAAGATAGAGGTTTAGCCCTAAATAATACATTTAGTGTTGCAAAAATTTTAAACTAGCTCCTACAGGCTTTCAATGCAAAACTTACAGTGAAGTTGTTCAAGATGTCTTGTCATAAGATCTCTTGAAAAAAAGTAATGAACGTGATATAAAAGAAGAAAGCTTTTGCATCAACAAAAAAAATTACGGGCACTCAGTTCTATAGTACTTGTAATTTTTATGATTTTTCAGTGCTAAATAAGTAATATTGTAAGTAATACTTATAGGGATTTATAATATTGGCTTCTAGTAGAATAATATCAAATTTTTCATAATCTTCGTTTTCTTTCCTTCATTCTCAACATTGAGTTGTAAATGTTATTACCACAAAAGTATCTCAATCTGCAAGTTGTGGTCGACCATCGCATCATGATTTATTACCAAACTACATTCTCTTTGTATTCTCCACTTATTAATATTTCATATTATTAATATAATGTTTTGAAACTATGTAGGATTAGGTCTATACATGATGACCAATATATATATATTGGAACGCCAGCACCTTCTGTAGGCCGATGCTATACAAATTATTATTATTATTATTATTATTATTATTATTATTATTATTATTATTATTATTATTATTAATATAACATTATTGTCATACATAATTGATTGGTCTGCTTAGAAAAATGAACAAAAACAACCAACATTTGTAAATGATCATAACCATCTGTAATGTTACCTGTTTGTTGAATCTATCTGTAACTCGTTGAATCTGTTGATTGAAGGATCGGTAAAAACTCTCATTCTTCCAGTTCCATTAAGGTTGATGACATAAATAGAGATGCCGCCATCATCCACCCAGTACAATTTACGATCAATGACATCAATGTTAATACTATTTAAAATATTTTCTGAAATTGTGATAAATTGTGTCTACTATATTGCAATTCAATTCAATTCAATACTTTTGTACCCTGGCAGACACCAAACGTTATTATAATATTTGCGAACGTTAATAACTTAAAGGGTTGTACATCAGGAGTGTCTATCTGTCACATCCGGGCCACTGTTGCTTGATAAAGGTCTTTTTAAGAAATAGCAATAAAATAAAGGAGAAATAGGAGTGGACAAATCGCCGCAAACGGGATCTAAACCTGAACTATGACATCGTTGAATTAAATGAATTTAAATTATTTTTATATTATATTTGTATATATATATATATATATATATATATATATATATATATTAATACACACACACACACAGAGTGTTGGTAGCCAGGTGTTGGTGATGATGGTTGGGGTGATGGTGGTGATTGTGAATGTGGTGATGGTGATGACGATATAAAAATGATTGTTTTGATGATGACCTGTCTCTTATACACATCTAGATGTGTATAAGAGACAGCAACATAACAAAAAATATATTAATTAA